ACTGCATCCAGATGAGTTAACCTTGCTGTTAAGGCTCGACAGGAATCAGAATGTTCTCATGTATGCATTGGGGTCATCAAATCATCAGACCCGACAAACAAGGCTTTTAGATATAGCAGCAGCGAGGGGAAGTCCAGTTAACCTTAATTTTTTCAAAACGAATGCTATAAGGGGCGAGTTCCGTGAACCCACTAGGCGAATTTCGGACTAATTTCATCAACGCAATACAAATTATGAGCTTCACCGAAAAGTCGTTTGGGTACAATCATGTGAGAGCGTGTGAAGCACGTTTTTTCTCCAGTGATTGTGTTTTGGTCATTACCCAATTTGTTCACATGTTCTTGTTTGCAAATTAGACGTCGGAGGCGATTCATGCTTATTCATTGTCAAAAGTTGCAAACTTGCTTTATGGTTACGCCCTCTGGTCATAGCCTAGAATATTATAGTTTGTTTATTGACTACTGGCGGTTGACGTACTCTACATAATTTCAAACTGCATTTGCATTCAAACATCTTCCTCATCCTTCAACTCGCTCGCAGTGAAGATTCAGCCATGATTTTTCTGGCCTGTCTCAATCCAATACGGGTGATGTGGCGACCAGGTATAAGTTGGCATCAATAATACAAAGGGCTGGAAGGCCGAGAACACGAAGGAAGATGTTAGAGCTGGATATACACACAGTCGAAATGTTGGGATTACATTGAAACAATGCGTGAAATGGTTTACATTTAGTTGGGCATTCTGCGTCATTCATTGGTGCCGACAGAGGAGACGGCGAGGACTCGAACAAATCGAGTGTGGGTGGACGCGTTGCCACTGGTGGCGACAGGGATGGGGGCCGTAATGCCTTCGCCGACCAGCGCTCCATATGCCTTCCATGCTACACAGTTCTGCATCGGTGATCGCGTTCTTGGAGTGGTAAGGAAGAAAACTGGAGACATTTTCTACCTTGATATTGGTTGTCCTGCTCCTGCCTCCCTCAATGCCCTCGCTTTCGAGGGTGCCTCAAAAAAAAATCGACCTGATATTCGTCTTAGAGATGTGATCTACGCCGCTGTCGCACAGTCTGATCCAGGCAGGTCAACTTTTAAGCGCCTTGCGAACCTTACATAATTCATAATGTGTTGGTACCAAAAATTGAAGTTGCCATAATTGATCTTGCCTATGAGGACTTAAAGCGGCTTCTTGTTGTATCCAGTCGAAGTTTGTTTGAGTACAATGATTCTCAATTCTTGGTCTACAGATCTGGAAGTCGAACTTACGTGCGTGGATGAAGCTGGGAAGGCGGCTGGAATGGGAATTCTGGGTCGTCATGAACCGGGCTCAGTGGGTAATGCGGGTGGTATGAGCGGCGGAGTGATGCTTAGCTGCTCTCTGGAGCTTTCTCGACGTCTGATCGACACCAAAAAATTTCCGCTGCTGGCGAAGCTGGGTGAGGTGGGTGACAGAAGCGTTAACCCGATTGTCTATAATTCTATTTTTTATACATTACAGCACGCTTTGCTCTCGCCTTGCGCCGCCCTAATGGCGTTGATTTAATGATACGTGGGATGGGAAGCGAATGGGTCAGCCAAAATATCGTGTAAAATGTCTAATGGACCACTTTTAAGATGCAACGAAGGAGCTCAAACTCATAGTATAGGGGTAATCAAGAAACCTCAAAAGTGATGAGGGCAATTGCAATTCAAAATTGTTTGGAATCCGGTTGCACGGTTTTCATCTCTCATGTTATAGTTCCTTAGGAGTAATAATTTGGATTATGTCAATAACTGTGC